CTGGCCCCGCCTCTCCGCCGGCTCCGCCCTCACCGCCAGGCCCCGCCCCCAGCTCATCCCGCCCCTCACAGCCTGGCCCCGCCTCTCACCGCTAGGCCCCGCCCCTAGATGGCCTCGCCTCTCACTGCCAGCCCCGCCCCCGGAGGCTGGGGGCCCGCCCCGCACTGGTTCGCGCTGCCAGACCTTGTCACTAAAGGGCCAGATTCCTACCGCCCCCCCACACACATCCGCCTGACCTGGATGCCTTGTGACCACATGTGAACGGCCTTCCCTGGCCTCAGGGATGTAGCCTGCTCCTTGCTGGTGTGAAGGCCAGGGTGTGCTGGCCGGGCCGACCCAGCTGACTGACCTCCTGCATGCCTCCTCCAGGGCGACGTCGCCCATGCTGCTGGTGGCGCTGGCTGTCTTCTTCGGCGCCTGTTACATTCTGTATCTGCGCACGTTGCAGTCCAAGCTCATGCTCTTTGGTAAGAGATCCCTTTCCATATAGACCCCTAGCCCTTCCAATCCTGCTCTCCTGGAATGCAGCCCTCAGATCCCAAACCGCCCTCTGAATACAAGTCTACTCAAGCCTGGGTGTATACTAGATTCCCCATCCTGATCCCTTACAGTTCAGATACACCTGGTGCTCCCACCTAGCCAGCCCTCCGCAGTTGCTGTCCCCCAGACCCAGAATGAGGTACTCTGGAATCCCTCCTTCACCTGGCTCCTGTCCTTTAAACGGACTTTTGGGCAACGCACTCCACTCTCCTCCCTTGTCTCTGTGGAAAACTGCAGTTACTCACAGTGGACACCAGGTGGCGATGGCACTCTGCCTACATTGGTTCCCCACTTCCTGCTTTCTGGGGCGAGACTAGCAATGTCTTGGACCTTCTCAGAGAGGGGTAGCTGGAGGCCGGTAACTTATGCGGTCCCAGACTGCTACTAGGTGCCACTGGGAAGATAAGATATCAGAGGGAATCCACCCAGGGGAAATTGAGGGTTTGGAGGGGAGTAAGACAGCTAGGCTCATTCCAATAGACCTAAAACGGGGTCCTCCGGGGGCCTGCACCATGTGTGCGCGACGAGGTGAGCTGACATGGAGGACACACCTACAGCATAGCCTGGACTTGGCTCCGGCTCTGCCCTGCCCAGAGCATGCAGAGCCAATCTGATGATCTCCTGTGAGAGGCCAATGTTTTGTTTTTATGCAGAATTACTCAGTTTGTCACAAATCAGATTCTTGTGAAAAATCTCAAAAACCAGCCACAGGGACCAGCAGTTAGCGTAATGGCTATGTCGCTGGGCCCCCATGTAGTCGACCGCGGTTCTTTTCCTGGACCCAATGGCTTAAACTCACACTGGGCTCGTGTGCATGCGTGCCCAAGATCCCGAGAGGAGAATGGAGGAGAAGGGATTGTGGCGTGGCCATCCCCTCTGGGGGGTGATTTCTCACTTTCTGTCTCTCTGTCTCTCTGTCTGTCTGGCGAGCGCACGTGCCCTATAGCAAAAACCTCTCCAAAAAAAAAAAGAAAAAGAAAAAACAAAAACAAAACAAAACAAAAAACTCACGCTGGGCGCATGTGCATGTGTGCCCAAGATCCTGAGAGGAGAATGGAGGAGAGTGGATTGTGGCGTGGCCATCTCCCTGGGGGGTGATTTATCGCTTTCTGTCTCTCTGTCTGTCTGGCGAGCATACACGCCCTATAGCAAAAACCTCTCCCCCAAAACAACAACAGCAACAACAACAACAACAAACCAGCCACAGACCAGACTGGCCCTTGGGCACCCAGATTGAGTCTCTGGGTCTGCATTGACCTGGTGCAGACTAGGCCAAGAGGACCCGCTGGGGGGTGGAGACTAGGTGCTTCCTGGGAGAGATGGTGTTGTAGGGCCAGGGCAGGGGCCGAGGAAGGTGTGCAGCTGATTCCAGAGGACAGTGGGGGTATCAGGGAAGCAGGCTAGGGTCAGGACCTGGAAGGCCTTAGCGTGAGGAGTCTGGGTTAGACCTGGAGGCTCCTGCAGCTTCTGATGCCAGTGGTAGGGGTTACCCTGGGAGCAAGCACAGGACGCTCCAAGCAGCTACAGTGCCGTTTGCCCCCAGGCCGAGAGGTGAGCCCAGCCCATCAGTACGCTCTGGCCGGAGGCATCTCTTTCCCCTTCTTCTGGCTGGCTGGTGCAGGCTCGGCCGTCTTCTGGGTCCTGGGTGAGTACAGAGTCTGGGTGGGCCGGGGGGAGGCCTGGGTGGGTGGTGGGGACCAGGCAAGAGAGTGTGGTCTCGAGCTGCGGTTTTCTGTAGGAGCCACTCTGGTGGTCATCGGCTCCCATGCCGCCTTCCACCACATCGAGGCTGTGGACGGGGAGGAGCTGCAGATGGAACCTGTGTGAGGCATCTTCGAGGACCTGCCCGCCTCTGGGCCAGCTGCCCCATTGCTGTGCACCCCGCCCTGCATGGCTCTGCTGCTCAGGCCGAAGATCCCATCCCATCACAAGCACAGGGAGGGAGTCGCCCTTTGGAAATAAAGCTGTTACGGTTGTAGCATTCAGCAATGGTGCCCCGGGGTCTTCTGTGGGTCTCAGGGAATGCCAAGGACACTGCCGAGACCAAGACGAGTGGGGAGGGGCTGTGGGAAAGGTGACGTGCAAGGTATGTTGGTAATGTCACAGGACGCCAAATGCTGGTGAGTGCTGAGGAGACGGGAAGGGAGAGTGTTGGGGCCCCGAGGACACCCCCCAGATTTGATGGTCATTTCAATATTTGTATTAACAGCTGTGATTTATTATTGTGAAAGGATAGAAGCAAAATCAGCAAAAGGAAGAGGCTCATGGGGTAAAGTCAAGAGGAAACCAAGGCCAGCTGGTGGCCTGATATTTAAGGTGAATGGAGCCAACATAACCAACTGCGGTTCGAGTCCCGGACCCAGCAGCTTGAGAAACACACATGCTTACCCCAAACCCTGAGGGGCAGGAGAGATGGCGAATAGACTGCAACACGACCCTCCCCGTGGGTGACGCTTCCTCACGTTCTGTTTCTCTGATAATCACATGTGCCCTCTGGCAAATTTTTTAGAAAAATGAAACTAGTCACACACTTCTTAGTTTCCTCTCTCAGTGCACTCAGACAGAACAAGCTGCCTCAAGCAGCGAATCATGACAACCTATGTGAGGTGTCAACCAGGGAAGCCCATGAGAGCCTTGGCATCCAGGATTTTTCTTGGGGCAGCAGCCCCTGTGTATACCATGAACCAAAATTCCACTCCCAGGAGAACAGGTGCTTGGCATAAGGTGTGTCACCTGTAACAGATGTAGTGAGCCGCCCTGATGGGGTATGAAGAGCCCCCCAGGATCCAGGTCCCCGGATGCCAGCCAAGGACAAAGTGCGAGCAGAGCTGTCGAGGGCTTACGGTCTCAGGCCTGCTATAACAACTGTTACTTTCTTCTGTTTTTAGGTTTTTGTTAGAGCGTGTGTGCTCTCCAGAGAGAGACAGAGAGAAGGAAAGTGAGCAGTCACCCCTCAGGGAGGATGGTCATGCTGCAGGCCTGAATGCAGCCCTCCGTTCTCCTCTCAGGATTTTGGGCACACATGCACATGCACCTGGCATGATTTTCAGGCTGCTGGGGCCAGGACTCAAACCTCAGAGTCAGCTACGTGGGAGTCCAGCCCCTTAACCACCACACCATTTGGTAGTCACTTCACAGAATTCTGAAGAAAGTTGCAGATTAAAAAATAAGTGGCCAGTGACACTGAGTGAAGGCCTAAACTGAATGAGCAAGCAGCCATAGAGCTGTGGGGGAAGAACACTGTGGGCCAGGTCCAAGGAGCAGGACGAGGAGGCCCAGACGAGTCAGGGAGAGAGGGAGGGAGGTGAGGGCAACTTGACTGTGGTGAGGGCTTTGGCTTTTCTTTTTTTAAAAGATTTTATTTTAGGGACCAGCAGTGAGTGTAATGGCTATGTTGCTGGACTCCCATGTAGTCGACCGCGGTTTGAGTCCCACACCCGGTGGCTTAAACTCACACCGGGCGCGTCTGCGTGCGTGCCCAAGATCCTGAGAGGAGAATGGAGGAGAAGGGATTGCGGCGTGGCCATCTCCCCTGGGGGGTGATTTCTCACTTTCTGTCTCTTTGCGCCAGGCCCCTTATAAAAAACACCTAAAAAAAAAAAAAAAAAAAGATTTATTTTATGTACTTAATTTGACCAGAGAGGGATAGAGTGAGAGAGAAAGTAAATGACTCACTAGGTCCAGGACTTGAACTGCGGTCGGCCCTGTGCAAATCTGGTGCCCTTAACCACCACACCACCTGGAAGCCCCAGCTTTTTTTTCTTTTAAGAGAGATTTTTGCTATAGGGTGTTTGTGCTCGCCAGAGAGAAAGCGAGAAATCAGCCCCCAGGGGTGATGGCCATGCCACAGTCCCTTTTCCATTCTCCTCTTGAGATCTTGGGCTCACCCACACACCCGCCTGGCGTGAGTTTTAAGTTGATATGTCCCGGACTCGAACTGCGGCCAACTAAGGGGGAATCCAGCAATGTAAACATGTCATCTGCTGGTCCTGAGGGCTTTGGCTTTTACCCTGAGATGTCAGAATTACAGTTTGCTTTTATTTATTAGTTTTTTAATAGACAAATATTTTTATTTCTTCCATGAGAGAGACAGGTAGAGACAGCACCCCCAACTGTGTCTCACGCCAGCCTTTAGCCAGCCCTGGGTCTGGGCGTGCACGTGCCAGGGTGCTTGGAAGGTCTCCAGATGTAAACTCCGAGCCTCCCCAGGTGGGGCTGCTCATTTTGCCCTTTTACAAAAATAATTACTTCCTTAATTGTATTTATTTTATTTTTTTTTAATTTGCTATAGGGCACATGCTCTCACTAGAGAGAGAGAGAAAGTGAAAAAGCAAGCCACTGGGGCCAGCAGATGCTGTAGTGTGGGTACATTGTTAGACTCCCACATGGCCAACCATGGTTCGAGTCCTAGAACTGGGGACTCTGTCACTCCCTCACTCTCCTTTGCAAGAGCAGATGCCCTAAGACAAAACTCTAAAAAAGGGACCAGCAGTTGGTGTAATGGCTATGTTGCTGGACTCCCATGTAGTTAACCACGGTTTTCAAGTCCCAGACTTGGCTTAAACTCAAACCAGGCGCGTGTGCATGCATGCCCAAGATCCCAAGAGGAGAATAGAGGAGAAGGGATTGCAGTGTGGCCACCCACCCTGGGGGATGATTTCTCGCTTTCTGTCTCTCTATCTCTCTTTCTCTCTGTCTGGCAAGTGCATACGCCCTATAGCAAAAACCTCTCAAACAACAACAAAAACTCTTTTTTTTTCTTTTTCTTTTTTTGGAGAGGTTTTTGCTATAGGGTGCGTGCGCTCGCCAGACAGAGACAGAGAGACAGAAAGTGAGAAATCACCCCCCAAGGGGATGACCACGCTGCAATCCCTTCTCCTCTATTCTCTTCTTGGGATCTTGGGCATTCACGCATACGTGCCCGGCTGAGTTTAAGCCACCAGATCCGGGACTCGAACCGTGGTCGACTACATGGGACTCCAGCAACATAGCCATTATACCAACTGCTGGTCCTATCCAAATAAAAGCTGCCAGGCCTGGAACTCGAAGTGTAGTCAGTCATATGGGAGTTCAGCACCTTAACCATTCTGCAATTTGCTTTTTTCTTTTTTTAATGCAGAAGAGATATTTATTATCAATCTATAAATTAGAGGCAGTGGGGGTAAGGGGAGTGTCAAACTGTCACATTTTGGGCGCCTGGCCTTTTCCTCTGTCCTCCTGAGCCTGGATTCTGAGTTCCTCATCCAGGTACTCCTTTGCGCGGACCACCTTGGACTGCAGGTAGAAGGAGCTCCCCATGGGCTTGTCATTCACCTCAAACAAGTGTTCATAGTTCTCCAGGACCTCCTCGGGGCTCAGCTTGGAGTTGCTGAGAATCTGCTGGGCCTCCTGGAGGCTGAGGCCAGAGAGGTTGGAAACAGCCACAGACTGGCGTCTGGTGCATCCCTGGGCGTGGGCTGCTGCCTGGTTGGTATGGCCGCCACTCTGCTTCGGGGACACAGGTCCCAAACCCTGGCCCTGCCGCCAGGCTCAAGCTGCAATTTGCCTTTTTTTAAATAAATTTTTTTCCTTGGGGTGTGTGTGTTTGCCAGAGAGACAAGAGACAATGAGAGGGAAAGTGAGAAATCACTCCTTGAGGGGAGGATCACTCCACAATCCCTTCTCCATTCTCCTTCTGGGATCTTGGGCAGACATGCACACGTACCCAGCATGATTTTGAAGCCACCAAGTCCAGACTCAAAGTGAGGCCACCAAGTCCAGACTCAAACCACGTTCGGCCATGTGGGAGTCCAGCGATGTACCCGCTACGCCATCTGCTGGCTCCTGCAATTTCCTTTTTATTATAGCACAAAGACTACCGCGCAGGAATGGCGACAGGTACGCACTTGGAGGGGCAGCACTAGGCAGACAGCAAAGTGCCAACAGGGCCTGGGGAGCGCTTTCAGAGGAGGCGTGTCCACGAGCGCTAAGGGACATGAGCCAGCCTCTGGAAGTGCTGATGCTAGGTGCCAATGCCCACGGTGTGGCCCAGCCCTCCGGCCTCCTGTCTCATCACGAAGCTCGACGCTGGTCATTGACCCAGTAAGCCTGTGTGAGGGCAGGTCCCCACGCAGCTCCAGTCCTGCTGGCCACCAGTCATGTGGCTATAGAGCATGGGAACTAGGGCTGGTTAGAGCTGAGTGCAAAACACCAGGTGCCAGGGACTTCATGGAAGGGTGTAGAAGAGCTCACTCAGGGTTTTTAAACTGGGTATGTGTTGGAAGGATAATGTTTTAGACATGCCAGGTTACTGCTGTTTGTGCCAGAGGGTACATGTGCTCACCAAAGAGAGGAAGGGAGAGGAAAAAAGCGCCCCCTGTGGGGTGTGGTCACACTGCAGTCTCTTCCATTTCTGCCTCCTCTCGGGTTTTGGGCACGCACTCACACATGCCTGGTGTTTCTCAAGCCACCAGGTTTAGGACTCGAACCACGCAGTTAGGCATGTGGGATTTGGCTGCCTTCACCACCACACCGTGGGACCAATGGAAATTAAGTTAGTATTAATTTCACTTTTTAAAAATTGTTAAACACGATGGGGGCTAGCAGATGGTGTGGTTAAGGTGCTGGATTCTCACATGGCCAACCATGGTTCAAGTTCTGGACCCAGCGGCTTAAAAATCATACCAGGCGCATGTGTGGCCAGGATCCCAAGAGGAGAAGGGATTGCAGCATGGCCATCCCCCTGCAATGAGGGGGTGGGGGCTGATTTATTACTTTCGCTCTCTATCTCTGGTGAGTACATATACCCTGTGACAAAAACTCAAAAAAAGGGACCAGCAGTTAGTGTAATGGCTATGTTGCTGGACTCCCATGTAGTTGACCGCGGTTCAAGTCCCAGGCCCAGTGACTTAAAACTCACGCTAGGCGCGTTTGCATGTATGCCCAAGATCCCAAGAGGAGAACAGAGGAGAAGGGATTGCGGTGTGGCCATCCCCCCTGGGGGGTGATTTCTTGCTTTCTGTCTCTCTGTCTCTCTCTTTTGGGCGAGCACACGTGCCCTAGAGCAAAAACCTCTTCAAAAAACAAAACAAAACAAAACAAAAACGAAACTCAAAAAAAAAAAAAAAA